TACAAGACTATACCTAGTAGAAGACCGACTGAGCATCAGTATTAACACTGAATAACAGCAGTTATGATGGGAAAACGAAATATTGGGTAAACAAACAACCTATTCTTGTTTATGAATAGCAACAAATCATGGTTAGAATGAAAGCTTATAAACTGGGTATCAAGAATATAACTAATCCAAAATACGTGATAAAAACTCGATCTACATATGATTACAATCACAGGAAAACAACTTTGGGTGTTTTGACATCGTAGTTAATTCATCTCTTATGACAGCCTATATGTATTAAAAGCTTTCATGTTAGAATATTGGTTGACAGTGTTTTACAATTTTTGAGCAATTGGTCTGTAATATTGTGGTGTGTGCTACTGATGTCGACAGATGTAGGTAGTATGAATCATCGTTGGGAAGTGAAATGTCTGGTGGCAGAAGGTTAAAGAAAAGAAAACCAGAACAGAGAACGATTGGTATCGAAACGAAGGAACAATGAAGTCTGAGACGATTGATTGACAATCTGCAAATGAAGTATTTACTCTGTGGTTCTCAGATTTTACTGAGATGTTGTGTAACTTGTCTTTGTTCGAATATACTCGATTGTCACCACTTGTGTCCTCCTTTACTACAATCTGATATACCGTTGTTATAACAGTTGTTCAATTTAATGAAGTTCATCTCAAATAACTCCTTAGAAATATTGTCTAGAAAGCCAAATTACATGTGATATGCTTCATTAATTCAATTATCCATTTTAGGTTATCCAGACATGGTATGAAACTGCTTGAAATTCCAAATCTTAATCACAATGCTTACAGAATCACCTATTACAGTATATCCAATTGAAAACGCAACCAACTACAGTAATCATCTCATTTATTCACTTTCAATTTAAGAATCACAAAAATTATGAAGTCAATAAAACTGAAAATTGATCAGTCTATTCCTGTTATTGTTCTTGGTATATGGAATGTAAACTATAAAGTATTAATTAATAACGCGATGTTGTTTAAAGTTCATCAGATGTAGTTGTTGAAGCTGTATAAAAATCTTTAGAAGTTGATTATCATCATTTAGATTATGTTTATATGATTCAATGAAATTTTTAAAAATTGAACAGAGAACAAATGAAATTCAATCAGCTAGAAAAAATGCGTTCTAGTTCTAACAGACTTGTAAAAAAAGAAAAAAACGTACGACCTTAATGTACATGATACTATTTCGTTTAATTTATAGTATCTTTGTAGTAGTAGTGTAGTGAACAAGAACGCCAATGGGGCTAATGGAATGCATTTAACAGAACGTTAGTGAAATCTAACAACCATATAAGTAAATGTTCAATTTGCAAAATGTTCATCAATTGTCTCAAATGACTCAGAATTCCTTTGTTCTTGCATTTTCCTACAAATTGCATTCTTTCTTCATTCTTTATTGTTTGATCTTCTCGTCTCTCTGCTGCCAGACATTCTGTTGATGACTCACGTCATATACTACTTATGTTTACATATGTGGCACACATCACAGTAGTATTGAATGCTACAACTCACCTAGATATGCTTATTTAAAATATATTTATATTTCATTCAAATTATGATCTGGTGTAAACAAGACCATCATTGGAAACGTGCAAGTAATGAAAGATTCTTACATTCTTGTATATATTGTTTATATTTATATAGTGCTTTCGGCTCTGCATATTCTTTTTTCTATTCAATACAATCTACATTCAGACTCTTCTTGGTTCTCTGCTAACATACACAAGTGATACCATTTCTTAAAGCTAAGTAAGCGAAAGTTGTCTTTTTTTATAGTTTATATTGTTTTATATGAAGATCGTTCATGAGTATCATGCTACTCTGTATTCTAATTTATATATATTCTATCTATTATAATTCTATTTTAAACTTTTGAAAGATTTTGTACAGCTTCAACAACGAAATCTGATGAACTTTAAACAACATCGCATTATTAATTAATATTCCATGGTTTACATTCCATATACAAACAACAATAACAAGAATAGACTGATCAATTGACTTGATAATTTTTGACACTCTTAAACTGAAAGTGAATAAATAAAGAAATAAGATTTTTCGATTGGATATACTGAATTATCAGAATGAATTTATGGAGATTATGAGTCAATCTAAGCTAAACCACCATTGAAAACTTCAAAACACTGGAAGGCTGTTTCGTCCTAGTATGGTTCTTCTCAACGGTACTCATCCATGATTCCACATTTGGGACTCGCCCGGGACCTTCCATTTTGTGAGCGAAATCTTAACCCCTAGACGACTCGGTCGGCATCTAACGGCTTTAATATTCAACTTCGATCGATCCATGATCTTGCCCAACCATTCTAGTGAAAAGCCATGACAGTAGTGTACAATCTGTTACGGGTAGAGACAGGTATTTACCTTAGACAAAGGATGAATGGTTGTGTAAGTTTGCGGATGGGCCGAAGTTAAACATTAGCATCGTTCGATGCCGTCTCAGTCGTCTAGAGGTTAAGCGTGAGTGCGCGAGACTGAAGGTCGCGGGTTCAAATCCCTCATGGAGTCATGGATGACCACTACTAAGGAGTTCCATGCTAGGACGAAACTACCTTCCAGTGCTTCGAAGTTTTCAATGGCGGTCAAGCTTAGATGGACTTAAAAATTCAACTACTAAAAAATACTGAAATAGACATTCGGTAGAAATCACCAGTACATTTTAGACTTCTAAGCAGTTTCATACCATATCTGTAGAATATAAATATAATGTGATTAATATGTTTTATAAATTTCTATAGAACAATGTGATAACCGAGTTTACCAATTTGTGTTTGTGTGGACGCACATAAATAGGTAGGAGTAATCTCACAATGCAATCAACGGTCAATGAACGTGTGCCTAGATGGCTTCAAAATTAATTACTGTTAAATGATCTGACCAACATGGGAGGTAGAAAACATGTTCATAGATAGCGAAGCATATAATTGAAACGGGGCACAAAATTGACATTCACACAGCTTTTAAAACATTGTATAGAAATCTTCAAGGACGAATTCTTAGGTTTATTGAATTCTTGGTTATTTGTAAATTTAAACCCCCCTTATGTGTAACCTTGAATTAACCCTGGTAATCGTTATTGATACTGATTAACTGAACCATTAGCTTTATCTTAACACTTTTTATCAGCCGTTTAATTATTGCATAAATTCTGTTCGTAAATAATTTGTGGTATGATGGCACTTCCAATTTTTAACCATTCAAAGCTATTCTAATTTATTATAAAGTATTATCCGTAGAGGATATTTAACTATAAACTTCTGATAGAACTTTGTACTGATGATGCTGTTCAAAATAACAATGAAAGCTCCATAACCAAACCATCCAGCTCAGAGAACGAAACTGCATCAAAATCGTGCATCTGATCTACAATTTTTCACCAAACCATAACTATTAATACGATTACACTACAAATTCAAGCTCTGAATATTTATTACGAGTCTGCTGCTAATGACTGTTCAAATAATGAGCTCACAAGCCACTGACGAGATGTAAAGCTCTTTCAGCAACAATGATAACTCAGTCTTCTCACAATACCTGTGGGGTAAGTTCAAAAAAATCCAATCTTCTACAGACTGAAACTCATGTGCACACTATCAACAAACGACATGAATGAGACACCTTTATCTACCACGTATTGCTGGACACTGCTTACCCCGACTGGCATATGAGTAATATGAAAAACTAAGGTCCACCTAATGAATGTATTGAGTGTTGAAGTGACCTGTCTTTTAGTTTGTATGCTTTTCGATTCTAATTTATACATTAATGCTAACAAGTAACTGTAAACCTTAAATGATATGGCTTTACATAATTCGTAGTTGTATAAATTTCTTACCATACATCGAATTCCAAATATGATATAACCAATACTTTTTACTCCCCCAAAACAACGTGTTCCTTTTCAAACCACATCGTCAACGTCTAGTTTGTCACCAAAATTAGTAATGGAATTCCGATATGTTTGCTTCTAATCTCACGCCCCAAATTCCAAACACTAGACATGCTCTCTTCATCTATACAATATACATTCTATCGTCCCACATCGACTTCCAATTATGACTCTGTGTAATCAACTAAATCAGTTTCAAAGCAAGCCATTTGGTAAGATCAACACCGCAGTTTCAAAATCCAAACGTCCAAAACTTTCATTTCACCAGGTGTGCAAAATTATTATAAAGAGATGTGCACTACTATTCTTCGAGATTCCACGTTCTTCATAATCCATACCAAAACTATTTCGGTCAGAAATGTAGTGATACACTCACTACAAAGTAAGCGCTTTAAGTCGTTGTTTACGACAATTTACACATAAGGCATCTCCAAACACACTTAAATGTTGTACCGCATATACATACACATATTACAAATAAATCAAATCTAATGACATTGAACAGATTGTCAATATATTACAAAATAATAATTGCCACTATCACAGTGAAAATTATCATTTGTCCAATCGTAATAATGTAGGATCGCTTACAACTGTGGATTACGTTGAGTTCGCAGCACTTTCAAATTAATTTTTATTTAAACATACAAACATTAGTACGAGGCATCAAATATATATGCGCATTAAATCACTGCCCAGGCAGCCAAACCGAAGCAGGTGATTTTCCTAGAGAACCCCACCCTGAGTCGTTGACCTAAATGTTTAATCCACAAGACAGTTGAGCAACACTGGGAGATGATGTCCTATTGTATCCGGAGACCGAAAACAGTTCCATACACGGTTACAATGCCGGACATTCGCTTTTCGTCCTCTTGATTCCGTAAGGAAAACCTTCGCAACGAGAATACGGTGAGTAATGGCCGTATACACGTGATTACGTGAGAGCATTTCGAGAGCGGATTCTCCCCATCCTCGAGGCGTACCGAAGCATAAATCAAGTGCTCAACAAAATCTTTAAAAAATGCGATGTGTGATACACCAGGTTGAAGCCGAAAAGACGGATTGAATCGAATCAGATTTTATTTAATGATGAAAATTAGCACAACTGAGACAATTTTTTAAAAGCATAATGAGATTAAACCTTACAGTTCAATCATGTTCCATTCATTGAATATTCAATAAGCGTCTTTGAATGGATATTCCGAATGAGAGGCCATTCTAGAAAAAAGATGTATGAGGCCCAATATTTATTTTCTGAACTAACCAGAAAAGCCTGATTCAATTTAGTCACTTTAAACTATTTTATAAGATATGGCAAAAAATAACCTGATGAAATCATTTTAGCACAATTATGAACGACTATTTCAGGATACAAAAATAAGCAAACTCTAAAAACCTTACCAAATCTGTGTTTAGCTCTTAGAAAGAGGTCAGAAATCTTTTGAAAGTCTCCTTTTTTATAAAAAACCACAGTCAATGAGAGTAGAGAGAATAATGACGAAGAAATGTTGTGTGATCTTATCTTTCTTTGTTTTTACTTCTCTATTTAGTTGGTCAAAGGGACGATGGTGGACATAACAGAAAGGAAAGTGATGTTAGGATGCGATTATGAACAATAAACTCTAGTGTTGTTAGATTTATAAGGGTGGTTGTCACGTCCTAGTTGCCCACACTGCGAAAGGTGAAGAAAATAGATTTGCAGTGATCGTACCGAGCTGGAAGCGCGAAGGCCGATTCTAAAGGATAACTCCTCAAGGCCGGTCACACACTATCTTACCTTGAAGTTTGTAATGTGTTAACCCGGTGCTTCAAAAGACCAAACTTTTCAAATCCTTTCCTGTTTTCAGAAGGCAGAAGCGTCGTAAACCTTGGCTATTTGAGAGAAACACTTGACTGCTGTCACACTCCTGTACAGTTTGCAGACGAATTCAGATTCAGATGCTAATTTTAGTCTTAGTATCATCCAATCGATCTGCTTGGGAAAGTAGGACCTAACAGTAAAACAGTTAAAGTCAGTATCGCTAGACTGGGTTATTAAGGTAAGCAAGCCCGACCGACACATTAAGGGAGCAGCTACGATGAAGAACGTGCAAAATGTTATAACCAATAGGGAATTTTCAAATTAAAGAATTTATCCGTTCAAATTGTTAACGTCGGTTCATATTTAGGAAGGTTAAATAATACGAGGAATAAGATATCGAAAAAAAACGAGTGAAAGTTGAAAGTGTGTAGACACGTTTTACTGGAAGTATACGGATGACTGATATAACCTGCTTCCCCTTACTTTAAAAAGCTACTTATTCTCAGGAAACCTGGAAAGGGAACTACAGTAGTGGCGACGGCCTCAATAAACTGAGAGTAACAACATACCCGCAGATGATAGCTACTTGAAATATGGTCTTCCTGTGAATAATGGTTTACATTTTTATAGTGCTATTCTGTACTTTAAAAACCTTACTACTGCAACAAGAAATCTCTGGAGCAAAAATCACTACTTCTAGAACCACCTACACCAGTGATTATTATTTTCGATGGGAACATTCTACTGCTTCCATATCTCCATGGTTATCAAGATAACAATGTTATTTAATTTGATTATCATTGGTATTGGTCTTAAAGCTTTCTAAATAGAATCTGTGACACAATAATATCTGTTCCAATAAACCCAATGAAACTACAATAAGACTGCTGAAACCCTTCGGAATAGGTGTTGCACACAAACCAACAAACAGTACTAAGCAAACCAAAAGGTGAAATGACAAAAGAAGACAAACCAAACATCATCTACAAAATAAATTGTGCCAACCACGAAAAACAAAGTGGACGCCCTCTTCATCATTGCCCGCATGAACATCAATTGGCAGTCAAACGCCATAACATGTCCTCACTTATATCAATGCACGTGGACAACTGCGGACACACATTCAACTGTAGAGATTTTGGATATAGGCAATTCGAAAAACACCAAAGAATTTTTAGATGCTTGGCACTCAGGTCAATCAGTAATCAACAAACACATTGAAATCGATCCAATGTATCAACCTATCAGGAAAATTATTGACAAACATAGGACCAAAATTCAAACTAATGGAAGATACAACCAAAACAAAGAAGTGAACAATGACAGGTTTAAAGTCTACAAGAACTAATCAACATCGAGGTCTACAAGATGAGCTGTGAACCACATGTTGAGGAATTTGAACAGTTCACTTCTACCTGAAGTTGTGTTGATGATGTTGTTCAGAAGAACGATGAAAGTTTCACGATCAAACTATTCAACTCAGAGAATAAAACCCCATCAAAATCAGTTGAAATAATTTCTGAATAAAAAGCACAAAATTAATATTTAGATGTCAGGTAGTAAAATAACAAATTTACTGACAACAATGTCTAAAAATAATCTAAGTTTAAATTTTAAAATATAAAGTTTTACAAATATTCGAATACCAGCAATATGAACTTACTTCAACATTACGAATTGGCGTTCATTTAAACCTTTCGTATTTAATTCATGCATTTCTTCTTTTGAAAGTTGGAAATCAAATACCTTCAATGAATAATATAATGAAGAAAGTTATCAATCTAACTAAACAGTAAAATAAACAAACTACATTGCATATTAAGATGTTTGAGTAAACTTCAACAATTTAGTCACTTGATTTATTTTAGAGTCAAACTGTCTCTTTTATTTAAAGAATTCAAATAGTATTGTCATTTCCCGACGTTGTTGCTACCTTGATGTGGTGATCGGGCTTGACTATTGTGATGAAGCAATCGAGCTATACTGGCTGGAACAATCGTTCTTCAAGGTCCTACTATGCCAGAGAGGTCGATTGAAAACGGAAAGACCAAAAGCAATAAACCCAAGGTTCGAAGGCGAAGTCGTACTGCAGAGGTGTGACACTGTTGGCGTTAGTAATGTGTTTCTTTCAGACAACCAGCATAAGAGTAATGCTGCCTTCCGACAAGAAGGAGTGGTGTTAGAAAAGGTTGACCCTAAAAATGCACACCTCGCCTTATCACATGGTAGCTGTCTCAAGTGGTAAGGTCTCAACAAGTACGGAGCTAACACGAAAATTACTCACAAAAAGGCCATGTGTGGCCGACCTCAAGCAGTTATACCTTGGGCATTGTGGTCACACCATCAGGTCAGGTCGGGTAGAGACAGGTATCTCAATACATTGGAAGACGTTCGCGTAATTTCGTGGATTGGTTGATGCTAGGCACTAACACAATTGGATGCCGGCTCAGCGGTGTAGTAGGTTAAGCGTTCGCGAGCGAGACTAAAGACCCTTGGTTCGAATCGCGCGAGTGGGATTGTGGATGCGCACTGCTTAGGAGTCTCATAATAGGACGAAACGGCCGTCCAGTGCTTCCATGTTTCCAACAATGTTTTAACATCAATCGTTTCATGATCTCGATCAACTTAATAATCTCCACAACTGCTATACAGGTATACAACAGTTACACTGATAAATGAACCGGATTACCATTGAATAGTATAGCGACTTTATACAAAAATCACATTCTCTGAGATAAGTTCCAAATTGAGAATTTAATACGTGAAAATCTCTAGAGAATTTATTTCATCAAAACACTCAGTAGCAAATATAGAAAAACTCGAAATACTATTGGGAAGTAAAGTGTGGTCATTAAAGCGAACTGAATCGCGACAAATAGAATTAATGGTATAATTGTAACTAATATGTTACTAGATTTCATATTGTTAATCTTTGAAAATGGAACAACACTATCTCAATGTTCAGTACAAAAATCCTCACAATTGTTACAATCAAGAATGTAGTCTAACCTGAAAGATCATCTAATTCGTGAATGAAAATAAAACAGCACAGTCATAAGTGGATGGATGCTAGAAATGTTAGAAATATCAGTTCACATGAACCATGAAAGTTAATTGACAAACTTATTGTATGTTGTCACCAAAAATATTAGAAAAGCAGTCAACTTATATTCCATTTACTCAAATCATAAAAGCTAAACGTTTATAGATACAGGCTTATGTTTAGGACATTCAATAAATGTACGTTTTAGGAGAGATTTCATTATAATAATAATAATAATAATAATCAAATAAAACAATTACATCTACATAGACTATCATACATGAAAGTTTTCTTCAATTCGTTTTAGTGTTACGGACTTTGGGACCACTATCAAGTTCCTTTGAATTAAATAACGCAAGAGAACTTGGGCCGGTGTTTTACCGTGATGTTTAGCAATTTGTAAAACCCAAGGTTCCGTGAGTAAATCAACTCTTCCTCTAGAAAATGGAAAAACATATTTTAACACATCACAAAATAAGGATGTATAGAGTGAGCAAATAAATAAGATTAAAGAAAATACGTGTCCCAAAATGCCGTGGTATGGCGGAGGGTCGAGAGAGAGTCCACTATCCTCTCGAAATGCTTTCAAATGACCACGCATATACAGCCACTGAAAAGGAAGTTCTACTCACTGCCCTCTGGCAAGCGAGGGTGTTATTTAGGAAATTGAGAGGACGAAAAGTGAATGTCTGACTCTTTGGTTGGTAGGTATGAAAAATTCACCTAGGAGTTAGAAAACCCTGATTCCAAACCAATGATCCATATTGACTCAAGGATCCTGAGGGAACAAATGGCGTATGAACATATTGTTGGTCACCGGTTATCATAGGACTGCATCTCCCAACGTTGCTCAACTGCTTTGTGGATTAGACCTTTAAGTCAAAGGCTCAAGGCGTAGCCCTCTAAGAAAAGCACCTGTCTCGGTTTGGCCGTCTAGGCAGGGATCCAGCCCTTACACAAATCAATGACGATTACTACTGGAAAAATAACTTTCTTCAACACTCTCTCAGAAAAATCTTATTCACAATCATTCGGTAACATTCGTTTTTATTTCTTTTATACCACGCTACTTGTGTATCCCTGTTTATTCTCACTATGCGTATCTTATTTTTAACTTATACAGCAGATCGCCTATGGTGGAAACCTTTTCCTATCTAAACGATTTCAAGTCACTGACTGGTCGAAAGCTAAATGTTTACACGGGTTACGAAAACTGAAACAATCTTTCTGAAAACACGAGTACCATTCCAACTGGCCACCTTCAACATATGCACGCTAATGTAGATCGGACAACAGAGAGGGTCGGTTATGTTTTTAAAGTTTTAACATCGATGTTTGTTCTCTATTCGAGATCCGTGCACAAGACTCTAATGAAGTACTACAGATCTGCTCTTAATCTGTCACTTCAAAAAGGTTGTTTCAAGTGAGTTTTCCGATGACCTTGTGGTATCTCTATCTGGATTTGCTGGCGTTGGTATCGCACTAGGCGCTAGAGCTGAGGCAGCACTGACCGATCGGATCTCCATTAACAGTCAGCTATGTGCTGTTAGATATATGCTATGTGATCATCCCCTGGTTTCTGAGTTAATATTAACATACGTTTCAGTGGCCTACAAATTCATCGTCCTAAACCAAACGATGTCAGTAAATTGGATGCAGCTTCTGTTGCAACAGAATATCAAACCAAGCTAGGTTTAAGGATAACTGCCATCCCACCGAAAAGTATAGATGAGCATTAGTTGCAGTTGTATGACGCCGTGAATATGGTAAGGTTACTTGACGCATCGCGAAACGTCCCGCTTATAAGCACTGGGTTTCCTCTGGCTCCTTACAAATCATTGAAGCCCGTCCGAGTGACCATGAATTTGACCACAAACAACAACTGTTACGCGATGAAATTAGGCAAAGCTTGCATAAGGACCGAGAAATCTGGTGGTCGGAACATGCCAATGAGTTGGAAGCAGCAGCTGCATCTGGTAACTGTCGGAAGCACTTTCAACTCATCCGAGCCACTGGCAGCAAGAAGTCAAGCGTGAGTAAAACAATCTGTGAAGATGAAGGGATGTTATAACTTGCGACCGCCGATTAGAGAGCAGTAACTTATCGATCGTTCAATGACGCGTAAACCCGTAGGAGCAGCCTAGAGTCCTGATTGGTTTCGCTTCCTGCCTAGCCCAGCCAGTTAAGTCCAAAACACCAACCCGGTGTGAAAGAAAGCTGTAAAGGACTGGCTTATGCTGGACCTTCAAAACTCCCTGGTTGGGGTCCTAGAGATGGTGACTAGAGACGTTAACACACGGCTCAAAATAGTAGCTAGTGGCGATTCTGTTCTAACTTTCTTAACTTAAAAAATTCTTGCTGGTTGTATTATTCCCAACTCAACTGTTTCGCCTATTATTATGATTATTATTATTTCATTCACATACACTAATTTCTGTTCTTTTTTTATTGTACGCACTTTACATGCTCTATCTCCTCACAACCTTATTGTTAGTATGCGGCGCATATGTATTTGGTTCCCTCTTCTACCAATAATTATAAATTGAAATAAATAAATTTTATGCTACATTAATATTATAAGATAAAATAAGGAAAAAATAACATTTAGACTTAACAGTATACATGGTTAAAAAATGATAATTAACTCACGGTGAAGCAGCAGGTGAACCAAGCGGAGCATAAGCAGTTACAGTTAAACCAATCGACTGTGCATATTCAACTAATTGTGTGTTAGGAAAATTAGCATGAATTTCAATTTGTAAATTGGATGGTTTAATACGACAGTGTTTAAGAATATTTTCAATCTGACGTTTGTTGAAATTTGATAAACCAATAGATCTGACTAAGCCATCATCAACCAGTTTTTCCATTTCCTTGAATGAATAGAAACAAGTATATACATGTATTTTAATACATCAAACTGGTTTATTATCATTTATTATTACTTGAACACATAAATATTAGTAAAACGGTGCACCAAATATATATGCGCCACACAAATTTTCATTTTATTTGTGTGTGGGTCGCGATACTGCTCGGGTGCCTAAACCGAAGCAGGTGGTCTTCTTAGGGGGCCACACCCTGAGACTTCGACCTAAAGGTCTGACCCACAAGGCAGTGGAGCATCGTAAGGAGATGCAGTCCCATGGTAGTCGGTGACCAACGATTGGTTCATACGCCATTTGTTCCCGCAGGATACTGGAGCCCATGTGCAGCATTGCTTCGGGATCCGGTTAAATCGCCGGACATTCGCTTTTCGTCCTCTCATTTTCGTAAACAAAACCCCCCGAGGAGGCAGTGAGTAGGACTTCCCTGGCAGAGGCTGTATAAGCGTGGCCGTGTGTGAGCAGTTTGAGAGGGAGGGCGGGCACACCTCACTAGGCCATACCAGGGTATTTGAGGTTCCAGCCATAGGTCACATTTTAGACATTAAGACAGGTCATGTAAAAGTTAGGCTTGAGAAGTTCCAATTCATAAACGTTCAGAAAAGATCCTTACATTTCATATGACGTCTAACTAGTGTTTTGTCGTACGAAACCAGCTTATTAAATACGACCTAGTGAAATGTCGTTTAAGCATTATTAGTATTATTATTATTATTAATGGCTTTATTTAATATTATATTTTTGGCACAATATAGAATTCACAGCATAAAGTATTCCAACAAGTTTCCATTTCCTACTTCTCGGTCGATCCTGACGTTAAATATTGAATGATCGCCCGTCAGAAGTTAGCAGTCAGGGAATCGACATCTAAATAACGTACATTCTTTTCGCTGCATATTACCAGCAACTACGATGTCTCTGGGCTTTTTTTTGTGATTAAATATGTTATGCAATTAATAGACATAATGATGTGTTAAAACAAACAAAAACAGATAATTCCAATAGTTGAAATCATGAGTCAGTTGAGCGAAACGGCCATTCAGTGCTTCCAGGTTTTCCACAGTGGTCTAGCTTTAATTGACTCATGATCTTAACTATTGAAATTACTACAATCTCCACAAAACTCCTTCTGATACTAAAAACAGATAACTTGTTTAAATATCTGGATGGCAAGAACAAGTAGTCCCGATGTCCAGGCAGGCCGCCAAGGAAAGCATAGAGCAACAAAGTATGTTCGCAAGTATTAATACAAACACATTACGTAAGTAGTGCAAATTAGCAGCAATTGATACGAATTACACATGAACTAAAGATGAATAAACAAACACCCAATTCAGTACGCAAAGTACCACAAATACAATATACCAAAAAGAACGGAATAAGAATAACATGTTCTAAGCACTGGAACAGATACTTAGTCAAAGCGCTGCTAAATTGCTTCATTAGTTTCAATAATAAACTATCAGTAACTCTCGAATTGTATATAAACATGACTTTCCCCTTACGACATATTTCAATACCATAATCTTAAGGATTATATACCCTGATAAACCGCGAAACGTGGATCAGTGGTGTTCAAAGTAACTAAGACTTGGTGAAAATTACAGATTTATGCACGCAAGACATTTAAAACGATAGTACACTATTATAAACCGCCTAAAAAACAATTTCACCAAATAAAAAAGCTGTGAAATCAAAATTTTCCAGATACTTTTAAACTTGAGTACTTTACGGCGCTCGATGCTACATTACTCCCCAAGAATAACTTCTTACAAATGTCCAAAATCCACGGACTAAGTTACCCCCAAATGCCCTGGTACAGCCGAGAGTGGAGAGAGTCCGCTCTCCCTCTCGAAATGCTCTCACATAACCACGCGTATATAGCCTCTGCCAGGGAAGTCCTACTCACTGCCTTCTCGTGGCGGGGGTGTTGTTTACAAAAATGAGAGGACGAAAAGCGAATGTCTGGCGCTTTAACCGGACCCCAAACCAATGGTGCACATGGGCTCCAGTATCCTGCGGGAACAAATGGCGTATGGACCAATCGTTGGTCACCGGCTACCATGGGACTGCATCTTCTTACGATGATCCATTGCCTTGTGGGTCAGACCTTTAGGTAAAAGGCTCGGGGTGTGGTCCCCTAAGAAAACCACCTGCTTCGGTTTGGGCACCCGAGCAGTATCACAGCCCTCACACAAATCAATTGAGATTTGTGTGGCGCATATGTATTTGGTGCCTTCCTGTACCTATACTTATGTGTTAAAATAAATAAATAAATAATAAATAACTCAATCGGTGAGTACTTATTTATTTTGCAGTAAACCATACGGTATAAAGTATCAAACTACAAATCACGCAATGAACCAAACTACACTTATTATAAACCTTTCAGAAAGTCATAGGTTAATCAGTTCATAACTGACGCTTAATTAGTGGATTATAAGTAACGTAAAATCTGAACACATGAGGATCCATCCAGGTAGTCTGACATTACATCAACTACTGAAAGCAGTACAGATTTGCCCTCGGACGGCAGTAAGACAGAAAAAGGATAAGTCTATTCTCCGATTAACTTCTGTAACTTGATGGGATATTATTTCTCGTGAACTAATTACAATCTCGAAGATCAAGTAACTTACAAATTTTTTATAGAAATAGTACGTTCATGAACGTTATAAACATTCAAAGTAACATTATGAAGCAAACGTATAGTGAAGTTCTACCAGATACTTTATTTAAGTGAGGAATAAAGAACATTGTGAGACACTTCTTTTCAAAAATTGAGCCCATTTTAAAACACTACCAAAGTTACTAAAATATAGAGACTACGTGAATCAGTATACAATTCAGGCACTACGAAAGAGAAATTCGACAGCCCACTGCAAAAAACGAACATACGCTAATAGTGACACTGTGATTATGCAGTTAACGTTCGCTTCCCAGTGAAACAAAATAAAAATACATGAATTTTTAGTACCAACAAACCTTCCAAGTTTCTTCATGTGGTACTTCATCCAAACAGAAATTTCCGTTCGAATCTGTGGGAAAAAGAGGTCCACCATACTACAAAATACGGTCAAGAAATTGCACAAACTTTACTTGGAATGGGACAGGCCAGTGAATTAAATACAAATCAAGATATGTGAGACGCAAATTCTTCAAAGTTTCTTCACAGGCTTTCCTGACATGCTCAGGGCGGAAGAAAGTATTCCACAGCTAGAAATAATTTAAATAACATTAAATGGATAATTGCCTTTGAAGTAACAAAAACATCGTCTCTTTTTAATTTTAGACTCTTTAATGCACCTTCTAGTGCTTCACCTATTTCTGCTTCATTTCTGTAGACGTGAGCACAGTCCACATGTCGATAACCGACCTCTAGAGCTTTTTTCACGGCCGCTCCAACTTCACCTGGTGGACTCTACAGAGTGTATAATACTAAAAATTTTTCTTGCGAACATTCCATGTCCCGAGACCAATGACTGGAATAGAACGACCATCATTCATTTTCAAGGACTCCATGATTACACTGGAAAATAAAATAATGGTACTGACATTTGTAACTGTTACATTATAGTAATAAAAACCGCGGAAAACAAACCTTAACATTATGGAAGCCTTATACATATGGACGTTAGTTTTAGTCTATAGACTCCAAAATTAATCTGAAACATCTTCATCAACGAAGAAGAGGTTGACAAATCTCCGCTTATATACACTAGAATAACTGTTTCTATATGAAAGCAGGTCCACAATAAACCTAGAATACTTACTCATAAAGACGACAACGGATTACTAGAATGTAGATTTTTCATTGACCTAGGTGACTTTCCCATATTTGCGTTAATAAATTTTCATCTTGCTTACTCCCACATTATTAATTTGAACTAGAATGCGAATTTTAAATATTCATAGGCCTACGACTAGTCTGCAATTGTCAGTACAATAGGCAAAATTAGGTAATTAATATATCAATCAAGTGGCTTGTCAGTGACGAACTATCCATGTCTCCTTCTAACTTGATGGATATGGACATGAAAAATGGTGCTCAACTAGATGACGAGTGGTCGGTCACTAAGACTGAGGTTATTCACTAGTGTGGTAATAAGCATACATGTGTTTTATATAGACGGCGTACAGATCGCCAAGAACTTAATGATATCGTTCAGAAAATTCTCCGGCTACAATAATCCTGTTGATGATTTGCAGAGACAGACACGGAAACAAGAGTACCTACATAATTTCGTTGATAGTAATATTGCTGAAATGCAGGCTGGAGAAAGTTGCATCCAGTAACCGAGTGTCAGGTCGTTGGACACACAAATACCACTGAATGCAAAGTTGGTACGTAATATCTGTCAATGTATAAGTTCAACGAAAGTCGCATTCAACTTACGCGTTAGCAGCTGTTGACAGTAGGATCGCAGCTAAGTAATATTTGCAATTTAAACCAGTTTTGGAATCGCGAAACTACACGCTGCTTTGCATAACATGGCATCAGCAATTTTAGACTTGAGTGTAACGGTCTAAGTCTGATGAGCGTAATAATCCATAGAGACTCAGTATTTGATCATTAAGTTAATACTTTCTTTCCTCAACCAGAGGAAGTGAGGACCATGAATCCATGTCTTCAGAAAAGCACGAGGAACAAATTTGTGGGTTCGCTAATATTTTTATCATTATCTAACATTATAAAGGGCGATAGTGTTGCGATTGCCGGATAATAATGGCATAAATTCCATGGGCTAAAACTTGTTATAAAACCCCAGGTAGTCAGAGATTTTAGACTACTTGGCACTAAAGCTAGAAGAGCCCTTCAGAATTGCAGGCTTTACGGAGGCATACGAAACAAAGCTGGCATTTTTTATTCTTGATCGTGAAGCCAACGTTATGGCGCGAAATGAGAGATCAACTCCAAAAGCGTCATTGAAGGAGGAAAGGTAGTGTAATTTATAATTTGAAATGACATGCTATCCTCTAGGTGTAGTATTGTGTTAGCAAACATTACTGTACGGTTCGACTTTATTTTGTCAGTTGTTAGTAATAAAAATATAATGAAGTGTGACACTAATATAAAAGTTGGAACTCTACAACCATGACTGTCATCAAAATTCATAACTCAGAGAACGGTTACTACGCGTCCGAACAACAACGTTCATGTACAAATAGGGTGACAGTGATTTCGAAATTAATCATATTGCAATCATAATTTTCTGATAAACCATCTATTATGTATTATATCGACTTAACTTACATGTGATACGCTGGTACAATTAGACATGTAGTAAGTTTGTATGACATTTGAAATTAGGACAAATTACTGATAACGCATTAACTATTTTCTACATCTCGGTACTTACGAGATGTAGCGGGTACCTACTCGACCTCTATTTTGGGGAAAATTTTGTTTCCAAAATGTTAGGGTTTTCCAAACGTTTCTCCAGAATCTTACAACACTTTCTATTTGTTCCCGAAACACTGGGGGAAACTACCAAACTTTTCACGAATTTGTGGAAAACCCAGAAATTCCCTTAAAATTGGGAGATTAGGTGATAACGTACATCCATGCAAACTATAATTTGATTTCCAGTATATAAATGTTTTTGACCATGTATAATTTTTCTAAACTAAGTTCACTGAGTAGAAAAGATTGTTCGGCGAGACTCTCCGATTGTTTCTCGACAGGTACAAAGGAAGCAATGAGAGACATCCAAGCAGAGGACAGATAATTTTGTATCAACTTGGATAAAGTTCGGATGACTAGATGATCTGCATAAACGCAAACTTAAAGTAGGTAGTGAGTGGTAAATGTATATGAAGAGCAGACGATCAATTGTGAATTCGGCAGAAAGACAATTTGTCGACAATTCAGCGAAAGGAGAAAAACAATGAGACTATAATATACGAACGACTTTTGAGCGACACAAATCGGCGTTCAGAATGTCCACCAAACGACTAGGACTAAATCAGGTTTTTACACCAGTGTGAGGGATAAGGATTAAGATTTACAGTTGATGGTTAAGAATAGAGACTAGATTGACGGTTTTCGTTACGAACTAACATCAGTTAAAATACCAAAACGATATTTAGCTAAATGCTTTAAGAACTTCGCGCTGAAATCCAAGACCTGGGTCTTGAAAAGCTCTTATCGTCAATCTGAATAGTTTGTCTATAAATTATATTTTTGCCATGTTCAGCCTAGAAGTAAGTTATGTTCTAGAAATATACTCACACTCAATAATAAATGGGATCGACAACGGTTCACTCTGGCACGAGTACAACCCAATGGGTAGCGTAAAGTTACAAATACTTACCATCATTAATATCCAAACAAACAAAGCCATAACATAAAACTTAAATGCTTTTCATAAACTGGGTACAATATTGCTTTCGCCTTAATTATTTAAACAACTAATATTAAAATATACTTAACTGTGGTGTATTTCCTTATACTCTTACACTCAACGATAAGTAGTTTGTAGTTTCCAATAAAGGATTTTTTCTTGCTGAAGCATAGAAAATCTACCCGTTTGTTATTTCTGCAGATATTTAGTCTGCCAGAGTTAAATTGGGGTAATGTGACAGCCCAACTGACGTCGAAGTCACTAATAGATGACCACCCTATCGTGGAGTTAGGTAATGATGCTACTGTTGTATTGTTATAAGACAAACGGACTCTTACCACATTGATGGTCTAATTGGATGCGAAACAAAAGGGGCAGCGAAGTCCGTTCAACTGACTATCTGTTTCAGTCTTCAGTTCTCTACCAATCCCTGTTAGCCGTTCTTGACCTTAATAATTCATATCAGACAATTCTACATTTATTAATCTGTCCTCTAACGGAGAATCGTGGACTCTTACAAAGAATATTATTTTATATGTAGGGCTATTTTCGTCGTTATTCATTGTGTTTTATCCGTGAAATCCCTTCCAATTTTATGTTAGTCACTTGGTTATACTTCTGGCTCAATTCGTAATTATGCTTGCTGACATGGATATGTCAAGTTTTTTCTTAAATGACTGCTGTGAAGTCGTTTGGAATAGCTCAGCCGGCAACGAACTCCAGCATTTGACAACTCTTATGGAGTAGAATTTGTGTCTGCAGTCCGTTCTGCTGTGTTGTGCTCCTAGTTTCTGGGTGTTACCCCTTGAGTTTGTGTTGGAGCTAACCTTAAGTAGGTGTTTAAGGGGATGTACAGAAGTGTTAAGGATACTATAAGCCATTCGAAGGTGTAGCATGTATACAAAAAATATCCTGTTGTTTTGGTTTAAGACGTCAGTCGATACCACTTGCTAAGATAACCAATCGTAGGTTCGGACAGCCTCTACCATACGTAAGTTAGAATATAAACATATTGAACCATATTGGCCCTTAACATAGGAAAGCACATCTACAGGAATAAAGTGAAGTACCAGACCAGCTGAATTTTCATTAAAAACCCGTTCACAATATTCGTAAATATGCTAACACATTGAACCGCTATAGAACATTTGTCATCAGAGAAATGTAGACGATTTTTAAAGTGACTTACTCATTGACCGTCTGTACCTAACGAGGAAGCTAACCAGAGTTGCGATTTTACATTGGCATTAATGCCAGTGGGTCTAGAAAAGGCCCAGGTCTAGCTTCTAATGTTAGTATCATTGGATGTGAGGAACAGTCAAGTTGTTTGTTGTGGATTCTAGATCCCCAGAAATCACTTGACAAATGTCTTATTTCCTTAATCTTATTTTGAAAAGTTGAATTTCCTATTTTCATTTCAAAAGCACTTGTTCTCATTTCCATGACGTATTTCTCCCTTGACAGGGCCTTTAAATGTCATTTGTTAGTTGTCTCTTTTGAGATGCTATTTTGTGATGTTTGCTAGGGACATTTCATGCTGTATATATACGCTTGAATTGTGCTTGTTGTTGTTCGCACTTCTTGGGGAAATCACTTTCGCTCTTCTGACTTAAACTTCCCCCTCCAGTTAACAGGGCTGAAATGAATCGTAATAGTTGGCTTATCTGATCATTTTATCATTGAATCTTTGTTCATTTCGCAGATTTAGGTGAACTCGTGATCTCTTCAAGCGTAGCAATGTTCCAGTCACATACCATAAAATCTGCTGTAAATACACTTGGGTATACTTGACCCTTGTTTCGTCAGAAGACACATTTGAGAAATAGGTAGGTAGAAAGGATAACTTAGTAGACTAACACTTACAAGCCGCTTAAAGAACTTTAAATGTCTATTTATATTCACATTCATAATGACACAAAGGGATCCTACACCACACATGTTCAAAAATTCAAATTGTTATAGGTCAAACAACACTGCTTTGAAAGTTTAAAAGGACAGCATAAAGAGCAGTGAAGGATAATGTTCCTATCCCGATGAGAATAATGAGTGGTAACTGTTGGGATGTATCTCTAGACCATTACTATACATATATATTTGTAGTATGATTGTTAAGTAACAAAACTATTTATATTCGTGTCCCTCTTATTATAAGCTTTATTCTGACCTATGAACTATTATTATACGATTTACCATTCTTAAGTTATACCTGGTCTACCAGATACTATCTCTCTTATCCACAGCCACATTTGAGTAAATCTTGTACAAATGTTGTTTCATATTTTACAGTAAGACATGGTCTGTTTGATTTGTATATAAATCCAGTATGTTTGAAATAGATGATTCATATCGCAGAGGGCTAAGCGAGAAGCAGGACCGACAAGGTATCTAAACTGCTCGTGCTTGTTTTATTCGTCAGTGTTCCGTTCGATGGTTCACTGTTCCCTAATTGGTGGTATCATTACGTCATAAATTAATAGGACACAGATCACAGGTTATAACAGGGAAAATATGTGGTAGTATTGGCTTTTGACCACACGATGGTTGAGAAATAGGATCCCTGTGTCGAATCTCGTAATACTAGAAAACGTTACATATATCAAAAGAAAAAATGCAGAAACTAAGCTAAGATGGTGGCTACAAAGTATAAAATTAAAATACGATCACGAGAAAGCTTAGGCCGAAGTGTTTAATTATTTGTTGACTTTCGTAGTGCTCTTCACGTCGTTGCGTCTGCATTCGCTATCATTCGTTAAGATGGGCGTGATTCATTTGTAGGATGACAAAAATTTCAGTATATTCGGACAATCCGTAGAATTATGGTTTACGCTGTTATTGTTATATCCTAATGATGATTAAAGTACGAGCAACTCTTGAGACCGATTAATCGACCAATATTATCTATATATTCTTATTATATAACTATTCAGTAGCTAGATTATATATATATATTCTCTTTATTATAAGCTTCGTTTTGACCTAAAGATTATTATTGTACGATTTATTCTTCTTAAGTTATTCTCAGTCTATTAATTACTGTTTCCCATGATCACAGTCACTTTTTGGCTTTATGGCGTATGAATGTTATTTCCTATTTTATGGTGCGTTGCGGTCTTTTTGGTTGATATAGAAACCCAGTATGTCTGAAGTAAATTGTTCGCATAGTGGAGGCTATTGTTTGCATTCTGGACTGATTTGGACGGGGTTTGCGATCAAAGGACCAACAGGACGCTAGGCGAATAGATTACGTGATAACTAGCGGGCCATAAATACACAACAGTTATTAGTACTGTTATAATGATAGACCTAATCCTAAAAGTGTATATTTGTCGTGATCTTACCACCTAATCTATGAGATCCAACGAGGCAGTCCTATCACTGTCTACTCTGGCTAGTCGTATCGTAAGTATCAGAAATATGACATCTGGCGCTTTTGAGGGACATATTTTGGCTAAAATTTGAATAATATGTCTGACGTGAGTTAAGATAACGTTTACAAAATGATTATGTCTGAGAGGCTGAGCAAAGCTATCTGATTGAATCAACTGAATGAATATTTCCGCGTTCACTATTTTTAACCTTCACTTCGGGTTAAGTGTTGTATACCTATTTTCCCAGTTATATAACGTTCAACTCTGATGATTGTGTGTTTGTGACCAATACTACAGCAAATTTACTGCTCAAAAACTACATATATGGGAGCTCTCTGATCAACATCTTGAAGTTATTGCTGCAGTTCACATACAGACCTAAAAGTATGCTCCTGCAACGTATCCTATAATTTGTAAGATCACGATAACCAGTGATTTCACAAGGGTCTAACTTCATTGCCACAGTTATCGAGCTACAACTACTTATCGAATGGCAAGACACGGGAAGTCTACAAGTTATTGTTTGTAATAAAAAATTTCGTCAATATCAAGTGTTAGTTTTCTTGTCCCAATTCAACCACGACGAACTTTAACCAGAACAATAGCAACAACATAACAGAAATGTACAATAAACGAACACATCCAATTCCGACATGACTGACTAGAGTAGAAAGGCTTAGCACCCGAACTTGATTAAGAGCCCCAGTTACAGCCACAATCACATTACAATAAACATACTAAAGCCTATTTATTTATATTAAAATCCTTACTGCGCCGAATGTGGTAGATGCGGGCTGCGCTCAGGCTTAGGTAGTATATCAAACTTGCCCTCTGAAATTATAAACCTGGATTAAAACTGACGGAACAAGTTAATGCACTAGACTGATCGCGTTTAAAGCTCTAGATGTGAATTCTCTCAAAACTCATGAGCCAGGATATGATGAAGCCGTTAATAATCTTTTGAGAATAATTTAATGATAAACAACTACGGTTAATTTTAGGTAGATGATATAAAATAGACTTATTCGAATGGTAATACGCGAGTCAACTTCACTTGGTTGGGTTTTGTTCGTTTTAGGATCCAGAACGATCTGTCTTCAATAAGGATAGATCAGGTGATCTATGTTAGTCTTAGTGATTTAGGGCCCTGTAAAGACCTGAAGCTATTGAAATTACCGGCAGAATGAGATGACACAAAATGTTTCCACAACAAATCATAAAGACTTACGACCGGATACAAAGTAAGAGTTTGCAGTTGTAGATGGCTAATTCATGCTTTCGAGCGCTTTTGAATGTATTCCTAATTAATCTATCTCAGACAGAAGAGATAGATGAAACATATCGATACTATGATCGTCTTTAAGTAATTGGTAAGCCAGTATTAGGACACCTCGTTACTAGCCATAAGATGGTGAAAATAGGTTCATGGACTTCAGTCTAACTACATACGGTAAGTCGGGAAGACCCTTGGTTATTTTGACCTATCGTCCCCAAGCTCCTCCAGGTATAGCATTTCTATATCCAAAGTAAGAATTCGATATTTGAATCTCATATTCCGAGGTTTGCACTAAACAAATTGGATGTACTAAGTCCTTACCAAAACATGAAATAACCTATTAGCAGTCGTTAAGCTTGTAAAATTTCGGCAAAACCGTCTTACGATTACTCCGAATTCTACGGTGATTATTTATTATAACCACAGAGTTTTCATGATAATCAACCTTGGATAACACCAAATCATTCAATTTGTAACTATGGGAATAATTTCTGTGACTAATTTCTATTGCTAAAATCTTTCTCGAATTCTCTTTTTAATAACCGCTGGTCCACTTGTATATTCCTGTAGTTTTATCGGACACACCAGTTACTGGTCTCTATATTTCAACGTAACTCATCAACGGTAAACTCATACAGGGTAAACCGATCTGATTTTGGATACGAAATTACGCAGTAGCTCAGTAAAATATGAAAATCATACATTAAATACATATTCACGTCACCTTTGTGTTATCACTCACGCCATTATTCTCACTCCCGTTTGTGGCTACATGCTACTTATGTTTGTCAGTATCAGCAGCATACACTGTACTTGTCCCTCCTTTAAACGGCCGTGACTTTTGTCGTCATCTTACTCGCCACGCCACGTTCTGATTTGTCGCAGTCTGTGCCACACATCACCTCGAAATGTCGATTCCGCCAGCTTGCTGACCTCCGTAGCAGTGTCAGTCTGCCAAGTCATCTAAAGCCGATGTCCGTCCTGCCCCTGAACGTCCCACTTCTACTCTCTCTCCACAGTGACTGGTACAATCAACACCGCTACGCCAGCCAACTCCATTCGATTCTCCTTCCTGCTAAACCCCCGTTCTCAAAGAACAAAGGACATATAGCCATTGCCAGTGTTAGCGGCGCCCTTCTAGCGTCATCATCCAAAGACATTTTAGGAAGCCTTCAGCCCTTTAAGAGTGATCGCATACAAACGCCATTAAATTTCATGGAGCAGAAGTGGCGAGATTTCATCACACCTCTACTTTCGTCTCCTCATATAGAGGGAGGGTGTGGGTGACCTTGTACAGCTTATCTGGGATATACTACCATTCATTTTTAGCATAAATGTATGTACTTACTTAATAACATTTCATTCTGCCTTAGGCCTACAGTAAATGGGTTTGGAAACTCCACTATCTGTAGAGATGAGCATGTTCAAATGTCTCCTATGTGTTGGAAGTTTCTTTAACTCTTTTGCTATTTATGATGAACATATGTTCATTTTACATGGTTTAAAACATGGTATAAGTAGGAACGTAATAGGGTTTAATATACCTTTAAGTTTCGGGCAAGTAAAGATGTTACGGTTACGCAGTGTTTGCAAACGCTACTGTCCGAAACCTCTTCTTATACAAAGATCCCAAAGTAACAGAGCGAGTAGTCGAAAACGAAGGCATGGGAAGATATATATAAATAATGATCGATATATTCTATTCGGAAATGATAATATCCGGTTCAGTCATATTAATACTGAACAAAAACTTTAGTCTCAGTTTTTGCCATTCTTTTAGTTTTAGTATAGTAAAAGGAATTTTGTGACATCACGGTCATCTGTCAGTCAAAACCGGTTATTCGTTTGTCGAGATTGGAATATGACGCAGAACACAACGGCTGTTGTTAGCATCTGTTTATTATGATGCATTTATTTTTCAGATTGCTGTTGTTGCTTCAGTATCGGCAGTGGTTGCTATCTCAGGTGTCGTATTGGGGCTAATATTCAGGCCCAAAAAGCCGAAAAAAACTCTTCTGGATAATGATACGAAAATTCCTTTGCGAGTAGTGGATAGAAATGTAAGGTATCACTTTCTAAGCTTCATAAATTAGTTCATCACTCACGATACAATCCGCCTAAAGCTAGGTCTCCCCACAGCTGACCATGTTCTGGGATTACCTGTTGGTAAAGTTTCTTAACCAATTAATTACCGTCCCTTCTAGGTAATCATGTATATTTCAGTGCAAAACTTGATGGAAACATTGTAGTTCGACCTTACACTCCGATCACACTGGACACCCAAAAAGGATATGTTGACTTTGTTATAAAAGTAAGTTTTCATATTCTAGGTCAGTCACCGTACTTTTGCTATTTACAGTGTACGTAATTGTTTCGTTTGTTTTGCATCATATCTAAGCTATGGCCATCTAGTTTTTACAAACCAGTTCCGGTGGCAGTCATAATACAGGAGATTTTGATTTTAGGAAGAGACCACTGTTTAATCTGATAAGGTAGTCGAGCTAAATTTCACTATCTTCACAAATACCTCTCTTTATTACCAGTATACAGTCATGGATTGTACAAGATAATAATATCACCCAATGCTTACCACTCACCGATCTCATTAGTTTCTGTGGAATTATGTTTTTCCTACCCAGCTTTCAGCTGAAGTGGATATTATCCAATATAATCTGCTTCATACTCCGTTGGTTTCTCCATTTTGTTCTGATATAAGGTGTGGCAGCAGCAACGACCGCATCTGTTTCACCTTGTTATTTACGTGTCAGCAGCCTCGTATTACATGTCACTTATTATCTGATATCTCTCGTGATCTGATATAGGCCAGTTGACTGTTTTCGTGTCTCGATATTAAAATATGGTTCTACAATGTACGGTAAAATGTAAAATCTACTATTATATGGAGGAATATCTTTAAAATAGGAAAAAGGATTGTGAAGCATAGCATAAGCATATCGTTAAAGCGACTGAAGCTGTTGAACTTAATAGTAGGTTGTCCATCAGACTAAGAATCCGTCTTCGATTCATAAGGTGCAGACTTCATAAGCTTAGAGTACGACTACTCATAAGTGTGTTCAACATTTTATGGACAGGACCGCCTCACAATGCTGTCGAGTACGGCATACATCGGCTAATAACCCAGTAGTTCTCTAGTTGCTGTCTTAAGGAGAACTACCACTGTACCAACCACTTAATTGACCTCGTCATTTTTAAAGTGCCGGTTATTATTCGTATAACTCAACGTTATTATTGCTGTTTAGGTGTATAAAGGAAACGTTAATCCTAAATTTCCCAAAGGCGGAGTTATGTCACAATATTTGGCTAATCTCCCTATCAATGGATTTATTGATGTTCGTGGTCCATCTGGAAAATTGGAATACAAAGGATGTGGTATGTTCTAGTGGCTTTTATAGCTCCTTTCTATTATTGCTGAAGTCGTTTTGGGTCACCTTATATATACTACTATTGGGCTAAATTTTCTAGCTGGAACCTGTCAATGGACCTATTATAATACACTACACTACTTAAAAAAGTAGAAAAGTTTTCAGTGCATACCGACTGATAAGAACTGCCTTTCGACTAAAAAATCTTTAAAAATCACTTGACTAAATAAAAACATACCATATTTTAATGATAAGCCTTTTTCCTTAGATATAAAGAAAAACATACTCTGACCAGGATGAGACAACACTATTTATTTGAATTGGTTTAGAAGTGGAGATTCTTTGACACAATTTTAAATAACTCCTGGGAATAATTAGTTGGACGTCTTAAACATCAAAAAGAAACTTTTCTTAGAAGTTCAGAACCACTCAATAAATTATACAGCTTGTGCATGTCACTACTATTTTCTTGGAGAGCTTAGTCACGAAGCCACCTTTAAAAATTATCATCAAGCTTAAAACTCCAAGGAATGAAATGGGAAGAGCCTTTCTAAATGCCTATATGATGATCAAGAGATAAATCATAATCCCAGAAATACGTTAGAAAGAAAATTAATCTCAAGATCATGTATTTGTACTATTACATAAGATAATAATTCCTGATGCTTCGGAACAAGGACTCAGCATTCTGAATATCTAAAGATGCTTACAAAATGGTAACGAATCGCATTCATCGATCTCGACGTTGGGTAGCCAAAGTAACAGATTTATTTATTTGAACACATAAATATTAGTATAAGGAGGCACCAAACAGATATGCGTCACACAGATCTCATTTGATATGTGTGAGGGCTGTGATACTGCCCAGGTGCCCAAACCGAAGCAGATGGTTTTCTTAGGGGGTCACACCCAGAGCCTTTTACCTAAAGGTCTGACCCACAAGGCAGTGGAGCAATGTGAGGAGACGCAGTCTCATGGTAGCGGGTGACCAACAATTGGTTCATACGCCATTTGTTCCTTCAGGATTCTGGAGCCCATGTGGACCATTGGTTTGGACTGAGGGTTTTCCAGCTCCCCTAGGTGGACCCTACGTGTCCAGCAACTGGTTAAAGCGCTGGACATTCGCTTTTTGTCCTCTCAATTTCGTAAACAGCACCCCTGTCACGGGAAGGCGGTAAGTAGGACTTCCCTTGCAGAGGCTATATACGCGTAGTCATGTGAGAGCATTTCAAGAGGGAGAGCGAACTCTTCCCACTCTCGGCCGTACGAGGGCATTTTGGTGATGAAACATGTAATCAAGGAACTGGAGATAACCTGACAGGTCACATTGTTGACTGTGTACATGTCAAATAAATATTCTCTCACTAGATTTTAAAACCCAGGTGTACTTATTAACGTCTCGCAGTTATATTTCATGACCTGACAGTGGCACTCAACTTCGTCAGTCAGGAGACCTTATGGCAGTTTCTGTCGTTGACAAAGCTACCAGAGTGATGCATTAACCAAGTGAACATTCTTTGCATTAACAATGTTAGTTAAATTAGCGTCTGCAACTAACTGGCCGTTATTGACTGAGTCAAGTGATGCTGCCCATTTATCCAGATTTGCATCAGATACACTTCCAGAGTTGGTATTTTCTGATTTTTAAGGAACTAGCTTCCTACTGCAAGATTCATCGTAATAAGGTGCACAAATGATATTTTATTTCATGGCTAATCTGTGTCAGTATTTCATCTGCAATTCTTTCCTGTAGTTTTGAAGAAACTGGTGCTGCTTATTGGGTATGAACCCGTATCATTCAGCTTTGCACTCTGAGATGTTACTACTAGGCTGTTCGGGCAATAACTGACTTCCCGCAGGCCTGGGGCATCTAAAAATGATTGATCACTAAGTAGTTACCAGTGTCATGTTTGCCTTGTCCTTTTAATGCTGACTGAATTCTATCAACCAAATTAGTGCGGCTACTCGTTCAGGTAACTCGATATCATGTGCACTACGTTGGGATGCTAGAATGTTAGTTGACAGAAAACCCTTGTACCCTTCTGATTCCATCCCTTTCATGGCCTTAATAACCACATATTGAGTAGTTTCTATGAAAATCTTCAAGAATCGATTAGATTTTATTTATAAAAGCTTGTGAAAAAAGATTATCAATATTTTGCATTTGTTTTTCTTGCATCTAGGTTTATTTCACATAAAGCCGGATCTACGTAGTTCACCTAACCCTGTAAAAGTGAAACATGTCAATATGATTTGTGGTGGGTCTGGTATAACACCAATGTTTCAGCTTTTATCCTACATACTTCAGTCTAAAGATGATACAACACAAATAGCAATGGTCTTTGCCAATGTGGTACGTGGATTTAAATATGTGGGGAATTTTGCATTAGTTGTACACTTTCGCTGCTATCAATTGCATTTTGACAATAACTTCTTGTAACCCAGATGAGATCCTTGCCTGTCAACGAAAAGGTGAAAATAATGTGCAGGAATTTGTCATGTATCACTATGACTTTAAAATGTGGTCTATGAAAGATGTATATAGACTGCAAGTGTTTGATCGTAAGCATCTCTACAGCATCCCTCGCTTATAACAAAAACCACCGAACACTTAATGTTGAGGTTTATGAGTCCGGTGATAAGTATGAACGGCTAGTCGTCTGGTTTGAGTATGGACCTTTACGGTGCGTATGCTTAGTCACCACCTACCGCAACATTCAACCCTCGTTCACTTGTAAGTTAGGAAGGAAGTAAAAGCATGAAGATCAAGGTAGGATTAATTCAAAAAGTAAATAACTGCTGGTATGACTCATGTTCATAGGTTCAGGAATCCTTGTTGAAGGTCTACAGAATATACCCAATCGTTCCTTGAGTGATATCGCTCAAAATCTTTCTCGGTGGATACGTTTTATTCATTTTTTATGTTCCTCGAAATGTTACTCAACCAGTCAGTCAGTCAACCACAATGTAGAACCTGTACATATGTACATCGGTTCAAGTTGTCATACTCCATTAGCACAGAGAAATGAAGCTGTCAGATCAAATCCCAGAAAAGTAGAGATAGTCACAGTAAGTGTTACTTCTACATTCTTATTTAGCCATCTCAATTTTTTCCTTTCGAAACGTATTTTTCCTGACTATATTTCTGTCTCAGTTGAAATTTCAAGTTCTTTTTTTCTCATATTACTTTCTTCTTTGGTTGTGGTGACGTAAGGCATGGGAACTTGGGACAATAAACATTTATGTCTGGTCTTTTGTTGGTGATTAGCTGACTGATAACCACCTTAAAATATATCTGTCAAAATTATTTGCGTAATTTCATAGTTTAATAAACGTCTTTTTAGTCTGAGAAATCGGTGATGAGGTAGTAAATCTTTCTCAAGCGTGGTCGCTGAGGCATGTTATGTATGCCCAGTCACCACCTATCTCCACTTCTTATATTAAAGCATTGAGAGCCAGTTGGAAGAAAATTAGGAGTTGTTAGTAAGGAAGTTACATCAGACGGTGAGGTTATTGATTATCTCCTTGGGTCATCTAAATATATTGTAGATTACCGAGTCGACGTTCACACAACTATCGTAAACAATAGTCTCAGGTGTTTAGTGATACGACTCAGAATCGGTGGCAATTGAACAGATAGTTTCGCTCTCTGTCCTCACTTAAATCTTGAGTCATTAAATTATCTCATGTATTTTATTCTACCATTTTATTCTTTGTTCAGAGTCATATTGTTTATGTCTAATGTTGCCCATAACGACTGACACTAACTGCTCTTACTGTTCTATCATTTGCCTTGATAATTATTATTCTACCGTGTCAATGTGCTATGGAAACTCAAATTGATGCATTATTGTGCCAGATTTTGTATCACATTTGACTCCCACCAATTGATATCGGTTAAAAAAGCAAGTAAATAGTGAGCACGACTTTAGTAATCTGCTTTATGATTTTTTTTAAAGGTCCAAAGTACACAGCATTGATGTGTTTTTATTTTGAAGCGAAACATTTGTTCAGTATTTCCTAGATCATCTAACTTGATTTTTCTTTTTAAAGAAACGAATTTATCCTCATTTTAGGTTACTTCATTGTAATAATATACACTTAACAACTCACTTATCTTTTGGAATATATAAACCAATTCTTTCAACAGATAATTTAGAAGTACAAACATAACACAATAATGTGAAATACAATTTAAAATAGTGATGGTTGTGGCATATTAGTTGCTTGATAAAAAGTCGTTTCTCGTTTGAACCAAAGAGGATGTGCATTTATTTCACACAGTTCAAACATAAACACAAAACTGCATGTACATTCAGTTGGAAAGCCATAAATAAAACATCATACATTCTGGGTCCCGTCACAAGTCACTGACAAAAATTTATTTTAACAGTTGAATTCACGAGTTGGTCTAAGTTGCCCCAAATTCCGTGATATGTCTGAGGGTATGGAGAGTCAGCTCTTCTTCTTGAAATACTCTCAAATGGCCACGTACCTACAATCACTGACATGGAACTTTTACTCACTGTCGTGGTAGGGGTGTTGTTTACAAAACTGAGAGTACGAAAAGCGAATGGTGGGTAAGTTGTAGAAGAGGATCCACTTAGCGTTGTTGGATACCCTTGGTTCCAAACTAATGGTGTACATGGGCTCCAGGATCCTTAAGGAACAAATGGCGTATGAACCAATTGTTGGTCACCGGCTACCATGAGACTGCATCTCCTCACGTTGCTCCCCTGAATTATGGATCAGACCTTTATGTTGAAGGCTCCGAATGTGGCCTCATGAGAAAACCATCTGCTTCGGTCTGGGCACCCGGGCAGTATCACAACTTACACACTAATCAAGTGACTTGTGTGGCGCATATTTATTTTTTACTCCTTTGTAACAATCTTTATTAGTTCAAATAAATATATAAAAAAAACCCATCGAAAACGTGCAAACAATGGATGGCCGTTCCGTACTAGTATGGGACTCCACAGCAGTGTGTATCCACGATGTCGCACACGTGATTCAAACCTAGGACCTTCGATTTTACAGGCGAACGCTTAACCTGGCATTCAACAGTGTTAATGTTTAACTTCATTCGAGGATGAAATAGCCATCCAGTTCTTCCAAGTTTTCAATGAATTCAACTGTAAAGATACTACAATCTTCACAAATCCCTATACTAATTAAAATGTGTTTGTATGTTATAGATTGTTGAAATAATTGTTCATCATTTTATATAACCTAAGATATATACTCTTTATATCTACATTCATATTATTACAGATCTAGTTTCATACAAACAACAAATCAATTCACTTTACATCATTGTCTAAAATGATAGTTTCTTTAATTGATATAATTATCGTATTTTTTTGTTGTTGATGATTATTAATATTTCAGACTGAAAATGATATTATACTACGTGATGAATTAGAAAATTTCAAAGATAAATATCCAAATCATTTTCGTCTTTGGTATACATTGAACGAAGCACCAGAACGTAAGTATTATATCCTTATTCATTTATTACGTCATTTACATTTATCATTTATTTGTTATTGTTAAAAAGTGAGGAGAGTCCGCTCTCCCTCTCCAAATGCTCTCACATAACCACGCGTATATAGCCTCTTCCAGGGAAGTCCTACTCACTGCCTTCACATGGTAGGGGTGTTGTTTACGAAAATGAGAGGACGAAAAGCGAATGTCCGGCGATTTAACCGGATCCCAAACCAATGGTGCACATAAACTAGCTCCAGTATCCTGAAGGAACAAATGGCATATGAACCAATCGTTGGTCACCTGCTACCATGGGACTGCATCTTCTTACGATGCTCCACTGCCTTGTGGATCAGACCTTTAGGTAAAAGGCTCCGGGTGTGGTCCCCTAAGAAAACCACCTGCCTCGGTTTGGGCACCCGAGCAGTACCACAGCCCTCACACAAATCAAATAAGATTTGTGTGGCGCATATCTGTTTGGTGCCTCCTTGTACCAATATCTATGTGTTAAAATAAATAAATAAATAGGTAATATATGGAAAACAATCAATAATACTAAGGAAAATTGAAATGAATTAATTGCATAACGTAATGATTATAGGTTGGGTTGAAATTATAACTAGTACCAAGTTCTCTTTCAATTTCAATGAATACAGATAATGAATGCATATAACTACACAATGAAAGTCTCTAAGAGTAAATCAGTCATGCTTCGAATGAAATATTACAAAGGAATAGTCATTTTTTCGTATGATATATGAATCCCATTGGATTGCGGATACAATTTTCTGATAAGTATAAATTGGCTCAAAATGTAGATACAACGCCTCTATCAGCTGTCTTCAAATAAGTAACATCAAACAATATTCACCGCGATATCGAGTTATCTAGCAACCTATATTGTGGGAAGACAACATCAATGTAAGCATTGGTCATCTGAAGAAAACACCTCAATACGGCTTGTAGTACGATTTCTCTCTTGAATTTTCAGTTGTTCATTCTAGCCTTAACGTAATCCAATCTAATTCCTTGGCATAGTAGTTACTAATGAAACATATGTTCCAGACTACATAGACTGATTGAGTCATCACAGTATACAAGCTTGACCACGATATCAGTACAAGATCTACGGTTGAGTACCAAGTGTAAAATCTTTACACCTATATCTACTTCTGTTAAATGTGTATTTCACACACATATTCATGACAAGCTGATAGCGAACTAGTTCTACATCATGTATTACTCTTCTTTTACCATTAAGTAAATTAGAGCTCAGTAACTTTATAGACATCCATATTACTAAGCTATAAACTGCTGTCAAATATTCAACTTTAAACTTAAAATACCTTGTATTCTCACTGAGATTTAAAAATACATAGTAAATTTTTGTAGTTGACAACAAACATTACTGGTCAAGTTTTTGGTCCACACAAACACACACACACACTTGCATCCTTCATGTAAGATCAGATTAGTTAACTTTTTTTTAAAAAATCTAAAAATACCCATTTAACTCTGTGCTATTGTTATGTATCTTGGATTATTCACTATAGGTTGGGGATACAGTACTGGTTATGTGAATGAACAAATGTTACAAGAGCATATTTATCCAGTGAAAGATAATGATACAATTACATTAATTTGTGGTCCATCACCATTTATTGAATTTGCTTGTCTTCCATCACTATCTAAATTAGATTATCCTAAAAATATGATTCATGTCTTTTAAGTATTGGTTTGTTCATTATCACAATCTATTTCATTAATTTTCATTGGTTTTATTGGTTCCAATTTATCTGTAACTTTTCACTAGTTGTCATGGTAACATTATAACTTGTTACATTGGGTTTCATTTTGCATGAACAAGATACTACTATTATCATTTATTTTCTTTATCTAATAATATCAACTGTCGAATGTTTTAAATAAATATTATATCCTTAAGTTTTTCCACGTACTATACATATCGATGTAATCGTATACATATTCTACGAGCGATCTGATTCCAATTGAGTCAAATCAATAAGACTACTAATTATCTTCAATGAGATTGTCTATTAATAGTCAGATGATCGTTGAGAAAATGGGTACTAAATAAGGATGGAAAATCAATTGATGAATTAGTGAAACTTAATCAGTTGAGATGACTGGGACATGTGTTACGTATGCCCGACCACCGACTGCCCCGACGTGCGATGTTTTATGGTGTAGGAGTAGGTTGGAAGAAAGCTAGGGGCGGCCAGACCAAAACATGACACAAATCCATGAAGTCACTGACAAGTGGACTGAGCCATGTTGGTAGGTGTAGACTACCTGGTTGGGGTCCGCGAGACGATAGCAACCGATGGTTAGAGACCTTGAATGACATGGCTCAAAATCGTTTACAATGGCGCAGGCGCATCCACTCTTTGTGTTCTCTCAAACTCTAATCTTCTGAATTCTTCATGTCGTTTATTTTCTTTCCAAATCTATTCCACTGGATTATACTCCTTAAATAACATCATCAAACTCTAATGTTCCCTATTACTACTTATACTTTCACTACCTCTACCACTATGGGATTTGAATCGATAACTGCATCTCTGTGCTAATGTGATGTGGCAACTCAAACTGATGTACGTACGTACGAAGTTCCACGTTGTTGCTGACTGACTGATCGTTGAGGTTTCAAAGTTAATGAATTAATGATTGAGGAGATTATTTCGATTATTTACTAGTGGCAATATCATCTGGAATGAATCTATTTCAGAAGATAAAACTATTGATCGACTAGTTGATTCAATTTTCTAATACAGTAGTGTGTAGCTTTTAACTGATATTATACCTCTATTGTGTAGTATTTGAACTGTCTCACTAAACTGTATAGGAAATATATTCGACTGGAGATAAAATTGTTTCACTTTTGGATATTACTAAGATTCAATTATTGTAACAGGATTATATTTCCGTATTCTTTATTTATCCTAATAATTGAGTGTCTAAAGACGTCCTGAACGCTAGGTAAAGCTCTCCGAATGAGCGTCAAAATGCTTTGTCAGCTAGCGTTTTCAAGCAGACTGTTTCACTCTTTATGAAGATGACCTGCTGCCCATATGGAGAAGCGAAAGTTCTAAAGTTATTCAACATATACGAGCTAGCTCCTGGATTTCTGAAAGATGGTGACGGATCTCTGATTAAGGAAGTGAACAAGTCTGATAGACTAAATTTCTCCATCACCCTTGGACAAGTTGTTTGTTGTTACTTATTTTTCGTTATGCCTGTTACTCGTTGTTGATCATAGGCCATAGACCAAGATTCTCTAACTATGTCTTGGGCAATCCTTTCCAGTTACTATTCATTCTTTCCATGTCTATTTCCGATTCAGCCCCCAAATGCCCTGGTACGGCTGAGAGTGGGGAGAGTCCGCTCTCCCTCTCCAAATGCTCTCACATGGCCACGCGTATATAGCCTCTGCCAGGGAAGTCCTACTCACTACCTTCTCACAACACGGGTGTTGTTTACAAAAATGAGAGGACGAAAAGCGAATGTCCGGCGCTTTAACCGGATCCCAAACCAATGGTGCACATGAACTAGCTCCAGTATCCTGAAGGAACAAATGGCATATGAACCAATCGTTGGTCACCGGCTACCATGGGACTGCATCTTCTTACGATGATCCACTGCCTTGTGGGTCAGACCTTTAGGTAAAAGGCTCCGGGTGTGGTCCCCTGAGAAAACCACCTGCTTCGGTTTGGGCACCTGGGCAGTACCACAGCCCTCACACAAATCAATTGAGATTCGTGTGGCGCATATGTATTTGGTGCCTCCCTGTACCTATACTTATGTGTTAAAATAAAATAAAATAATACTATTTCCGATTCTCGACGTAGTGTGTTCTTTGGCCTTCCTCTTTTTCGTTTCCCTTCAGGATTCCGAGCTAGCACAGTTTGGTGATTTCCGCAATATATGTTCTATCCATTTCCAGCGACTTATGTCCAATGGGTTTCGCTTATTCTAAGTACTTCCAGGTTATATCTACTTATTTTCGCAGTTATTTGACTGGTCTTCTCGGTCTCTCACATTGTTCGAATATTCCATGTGCCTAAGTTAATTGTTACTCTGGCTGTTATATGGGACATCGGCCTCGTGGCTTCCTAAGAATCTTGGATTTCACCATGAAGCATCTTAATTTTAAATGAGGATCCTTTATCCCCCAGGACAGAAATTGTTCGGTCTAAGTTGTTTTTCCTGATCAGCGTTTTTTAGCAAGGTTGTTTTCTACGGGATGAGTTAGCTGACGCCATGCCTAACTCCCCTCCTTTATCCGGACTGGCGACCGACGGTAAACCTAACAGGGCTCCAGGTGAAGTTTTGTTCGTTCTATCCCAATGTAAACATGTACCAGCGTATAGGTTTTCACCGATTTCGCCTGAAATATGTACTTACCTAAACTAACCTGAAATGATTGAGACTATCGGTGTTGGTCCGTCCTGCAGGAGGTCAATCGCGGCTCATATAGCCCAGTAGTAATGTCTCTGACTGTGAAGCTGGTTGACACGATATCGGATCCGCCAGAGAGCATCGGTCCCCTCCAGATTACAGGTTCACCGTGCTGGTGAGTGCCAACTAGCACGAAACGCTCGGTCCAGGGTTCCCTATCGGTCGCCTACAACTACTACCTTACATTTCAACATGGTGAACACTATATCAAATCACCTTGACTCGTGGCTATATTTCGACTCGATCATTAGAATTCTTTCTGCCCTAAGAAGGATCTGACATAACAATTTGCAAATGTGTCATTTAGTTTCAAATTTCACATGGACTATTAGCTTACCGCTAAATGCAACTTAGAATTGTCACATATATTTATTTTTCTGAAACTGCTACGCTACACGATAGGTATTCAAATAACACAAAATCAATTGAAGTGACATTGTTTGATCAATATTGATAGGGTATCATGTATTCACATTAAGATTTAATCAGTAATCATCATACAACCTTAACATATGAGATAAACAGTTTGTTCTACCACTTTAATTCATTAAAAAAACTCATGATATTCAGTATCTTCTATAATCTATCAGAATATTCATTAAGAAAGACTATTTTCTTTATGTATCTTGATTTTATGAAAAGAAATTCGAATAAGAAATAGTTTTGTGACAGTCATTGAATCACAAAGATATTCACTGGCGTAAGTTGTTACACTCAATATTAGCGAACCTAAGTACCTCAGAAGTACATAAATCTTGTGGAGACACTACTAGTCGAGTGAGAGCTTATGGCGAACTGTCATCTGATTTTGCAACCTCAAGTGGAGTCCATCAAAGCCGTTTACTATCTCCACTCTTGTTCAACTTCATTATTGATATATCAAAAGAAAAAATGCAGAAACTAAGCTAAGATGGTGGCTACAAAGTATAAAATTAAAATACGATCACGAGAAAGCTTAGGCCGAAGTGTTTAATTATTTGTTGACTTTCGTAGTGCTCTTCACGTCGTTGCGTCTGCATTCGCTATCATTCGTTAAGATGGGCGTGATTCATTTGTAGGATGACAAAAATTTCAGTATATTCGGACAATCCGTAGAATTATGGTTTACGCTGTTATTGTTATATCCTAATGATGATTAAAGTACGAGCAACTCTTGAGACCGATTAATCGACCAATATTATCTATATATTCTTATTATATTATTCAGTAGCTAGATTATATATATATATTCTCTTTATTATAAGCTTCGTTTTGACCTAAAGATTATTATTGTACGATTTATTCTTCTTAAGTTATTCTCAGTCTATTAATTACTGTTTCCCATGATCACAGTCACTTTTTGGCTTTATGGCGTATGAATGTTATTTCCTATTTTATGGTGCGTTGCGGTCTTTTTGGTTGATATAGAAACCCAGTATGTCTGAAGTAAATTGTTCGCATAGTGGAGGCTATTGTTTGCATTCTGGACTGATTTGGACGGGGTTTGCGATCAAAGGACCAACAGGACGCTAGGCGAATAGATTACGTGATAACTAGCGGGCCATAAATACACAACAGTTATTAGTACTGTTATAATGATAGACCTAATCCTAAAAGTGTATATTTGTCGTGATCTTACCACCTAATCTATGAGATCCAACGAGGCAGTCCTATCACTGTCTACTCTGGCTAGTCGTATCGTAAGTATCAGAAATATGACATCTGGCGCTTTAGAGGGACATATTTTGGCTAAAATTTGAATAATATGTCTGACGTGAGTTAAGATAACGTTTACAAAATGATTATGTCTGAGAGGCTGAGCAAAGCTATCTGATTGAATCAACTGAATGAATATTTCCGCGTTCACTATTTTTAACCTTCACTTCGGGTTAAGTGTTGTATACCTATTTTCCCAGTTATATAACGTTCAACTCTGATGATTGTGTGTTTGTGACTAATACTACAGCAAATTTACTGCTCAAAAACAACATATATGGGAGCTCTCTGATCAACATCTTGAAGTTATTGCTGCAGTTCACATACAGACCTAAAAGTATGCTCCTGCAACGTATCCTATAATTTGTAAGATCACGATAACCAGTGATTTCACAAGGGTCTAACTTCATTGCTACAGTTATCGAGCTACAACTACTTATCGAATGGCAAGACACGGGAAGTCTACAAGTTATTGTTTGTAATAAAAAATTTCGTCAATATCAAGTGTTAGTTTTCTTGTCCCAATTCAACCACGACGAACTTTAACCAGAACAA